CAGACTTTTGCGGTAGGACCGGGTTGAGGGTAAGTGTGTGAATAAACCAAGATGAAGAGAGCCCCAAGCTTTAACTGGCAGAGTGATTTGGAAAGACTTTATTGCTGTCATATTAGGAACTCAATTTTGTGTCTGTCATTGCAAATCTATAGATTCCATAGAAAAGGAAGACATCTATAGACCAAAATAAGCAGGCACATTACTGCTTGATCTATAGTGTAATGCAATGGAGACCAGGTAAGCAGAAGTCTGTACATGTTGGAAAGCAGTTGTATTTTTGGCTGCATTCTTTGATTGAATAGATCCAGCAATCAGTCCTGCAGGAGACAAAAGTGGTCTAGGGATCAGAAATAAATTTAAAATGCTTAAAATGTAAATGCATCATGCCAATCCATGCCTGTACTACATTCATAGGAGGATATTTGTCAAACACACAGCACCTGGGTTCACCAGCAAACAGTTGCTGGATTCATAGTGCATCCTCATGTGTTTCTGTCACCAGTATTGCGTGCCATGACATCCAGTGCCTAAATGCTCGCCAACACAGTATGTATCAATGTGTCCCCACACATGCAGTTGCTTCCATATCCCAGAGATGTGTTGCCAGGCAGGTAACTAAAGACTACGGTAATCAAGAATTCAGATCTTMTGGCTTTGCTTTTTATAGCATTACTGGAGGTAGTCATCTCATATGTAGCAAAAAAAAGACAAGAAAAAAGGGAAACTCTCAAAGTAATTTTAAGTGTTTATCAGATACCAAAGACTGAACACACAGTTCAGTATCTCTTTCTAAGCAGGTACCTAGAAAGCTGGCTACATCTATGTTAACTGTGACAGCTAAAAGCTCAAATCTATAATCTTAAGGGAAGACAAGAAAGATGGGAAGTAAATGTGAAAGTCTATTAAGAGGCAAGTTCCATTAGATTTTCTTTCTTAATTTTTTCCTTTTTTTCTTTAATGCATATTCTTTTTAAATCAACCTCAAAAGCTAATCTAAGGGGCACAGATTTTTTGTTCCCAGCTACATTAAAAGAGAAAAATTCTACATCAAAACAAGCAAAACCAAATGTTTTGGGGCTACTCTTTGGCCAAAATGAAAAGTATAGAAGGAAATTTTTCAGGTCTGTAARTAAAGAGCTCTAGGCATCTCTGAATAGCAGATAGCAAGACAGTAAGATCAAAACTTATGGACCTACATTCCAACAATGCTAGTACTCTTGAACTTTGGGTAACAACATTTGCATTCAACCTTGAACCAATTTCATACTAATAGCAAAGGCAGTTACTTCACTATATCTATTGTGAATTGCAAGGAAATAAAAGGGCTATAAGATAAGTAGGTTCAAAGTCATGAACAGCTTTAGTACATTAGAGAATTTCAAGGCTAATCTGTTACATAAATTAATTGAAATTGTTTTATTTGAACACTATTCAGACACTGTTCTGCAGAGAGTTGGCTAAAGACACAGAGTTGATACGAGCTGCACACCAGAATTGCTGCTGGGACAGATTTTTTTTTCCCATAGGTCTCAATATAACTCATAATGAAGAAATCAATGACTTCCTCTCTCCTCATCATGCTCTTTGTGCCATGTTTTGGTATCTCCTATTAAGGAACTTTGGAATTTAGTCATCTAGCATTCATTATTTCAGAMTGACTAACCAGAATATTTCAGTCCTGTTTGGAGGGGAAAAACAAAATCTGTTGTTCATGTCTGGTCAGCTCCTGGTCTCACTCTGGGAGAGTGTCATGGCTGTTGTGATCACTGTAACTGTGACCTTCTCCTCTGCTCTCAGCGTAGGAGGCCAGTGAAGCTTCTCAACAACTGCCGCGCTCTTGGCTGGGTTGAAGCGATCCTAAGGAACTGGCTTCCCAATCCTTCAGCCCTATAGTGTATGCCTAGAAACTCTCTCTTCCCTTTCTGGTAGGGTTCTGGGTAGAATTAGAGGGTGCAATAAATAAAACGAACATCTAGGAACAAAACAAACAAGCAAACAAACAAAAAACAGTACTCTTGTACTAATCATATTCCACAAGAAGGTCTGCTGATGTTTATTTTGTGATTAATCTAGTCACATTTATCTGCTGTGGAAGTGGGCCATGCTGTTTCCATTTATTGTAGATAGGAATTTGGTCCAGTAATCCCAAATTAAAGAAATGAACTTGGCAAAAAGATTTTCACTGTACAGATCTCTGCAGAACAATTTGCTGCCTGAAATGGAAATGATTTTCTCAGTGCTTCTTTCTTTGACTTCTGAGTTTCTTTCAGACCATGCCTGAAATATTTCATAAATCATTTGACATTTATGGTGGATTGAAAAGTAATCTCTGACACGAATTTGATAAGCAGGATGAATAGCGAACCCGCTTAATTATAGTCTTAAATTAGTTCTTTATTATCACAATGTTTTGTTGCTATCAAAATTCTTCTATTTATTTTCTATAGCAACATCAGGTTATGAGTAAKTTTATTTTCTTTCTTCATCCAATGCTATTTGTACTGTTGTTTGATATTTTAAAATATTGGACATAATACTAGAGAGAGATCCTTTTTTTTTTCAAAGCCTGGTGATGGCTGTTCTATAAGAAACAACTAAGTAGATTTAACTTAAAATGGTTAACTTTAGGAGAATGCAACAGAACGTGCAGAGAGCATTCAAATTGCAGCACACAAAAATTTGGGAGCTTACAGAACCRCCTGGGGGTTTTAGGGTTCAAAATAAAACTAGCAGGATCAAGGCTTTTATATGGACTATGTGGATGAGAATCAAAGTCCTAAAGATTTACAGGTAGGGATAACATACTTGCTTTATTCTGAAGGTTGAGTTAAATTAGTTTTGTCATATTGTGTTACTGTAAATGGTTTGACTAACCAGACAAGAAAGAATGACTGAGGTGACTTTGATCAGATAGCGGGTTTGAGAGTCACTTGCATGAGGTAGTTGTGGCACCCTGACAAATAAGGCCAGGGGAGGCTTGTTTGCATGATGGTGTAAGTGAAAAATGGGAGACCAAACGCTGATTAAACAYCAGCACTGCACAAGGAATAGTAGATTCAGTAGGGAACACTTACACTCTTGTACAAATCTGTGCGTCACCTGTGGTTTGGTCCCTCATTTCCAAACCACGGACTAGAACTGCAGAGACAAACATTTGGCCCAACTCAGTAAAGATACTCTCTGATCATGCATGTTAAGGTGTGAATTTCAGACTAATGCCAGGTCTTRAGGCGCAGATCAATATGCATAAACTTGCCATGCAGAACAAGGAAAAATCAGTGGCTCGACAGAACAGATTCAGGRGGAAGGGTCTGACCACGTACTGCTGCTCAACGTTCACTGCTTCTGGCCTAGCTGTGCACCATGCAAGAGGGCTTACAAGGTCCTTTTACAGGTCTTGAGTTATTTGATGAAAATAGTATTTTTAGTGCTGTTTCTTGAAAATAACATATATTTCAACATGTTTTTGAAGTGAGTGTAGGGCTATGACGTGATTTTGTTTCAAAGAGAATTAATGTATATTTTGCACAAGAGGATGAATGATGTTCCAGGAACTGCATTATGCATGTTTCTAAAATCAGATCCATTGGTAATTCATTTCAGTTTCATGCAGCTGTAATGAGGTAACCCCAGTGAATTTTCTGACTGTAAGTGAAATGYCAGAGCCAGCACTTCGTATTATTAATTATACTAAAGGAGATATAATCCATCATTTTTAAGCTTTTTATCTAATACTCTAGTTTAGCTTCCTGTAACTCGTGTGTTTCTGCTTTTTGTTCCAGTTGTGTCATATGGCTTTTTATTTGACAGTACTGTTTGAAATCTCTCATTATATGTTGGTGGATTTATTATTAAAGCTGAAACATGCATTGATTTTATTAGTTACTTGCTCCCATTCTTGTGTTCATTGTTAGGGTGGAATTTTCTTTAGTGTTCTTTTCAATACAATAAGTTTTATGTATTTGGTAATTTTGAACGTGGCAGGATACTCCTACTGGTCGGGCACCGAATGTGTGAAGAACATTTAATTTATCTGTTAGCTGTGAGCTGTGCATGTTAACCCTTGCAAAGAGGGAGGTTATGCCCAGAGCAGCTCCATATGTCCACCCAAGCAGCTGAGATATGTCCTGGATGTACAATATGCAACCCTTGTGTGCATACGGTGGCTGCACACCTGGACTTGAGGTGGAAATTCAGGACATTGTTGTCTTCAGTTCTTGTGCCTTTTATTTACGTTCACTCTTCTTGAGTTCAATACTGATTTACTTATTTCTGGCAAGATTTGACACACTGAAAGTCTAGGGTCTCTGAAGTTGTCTGAACTGTTCAGCCTCTTAGCAGTTATTTCTTCCAGAATATGAAATATTCCAGAAATATTCTGGAATATTTCTTCTGGAATTCTTCTTCATCTGGAAATGGCTCGATTCCTGGCAGCTCCTTTAGTTGCCCCATTGCTCTCATCTTCCCAAAGTGCCCTTTCAGTGACTGTGCTCTGCCTCTTTTCTTTTTGTATTCCMGGGCGCTGCTTTGCAAAGAACGTCAAAAATCCCCCCAGAGAGCTCTTCCACTCTCTGGGGGGAGCAGCAGTGCACGGCAGGAATTATCCCCTGGCTCCGCTGCCGTCTGGCGCGCGACTGCCGTGTCCGGGACACGGGCCGGGCTCCACGGCGCGGTTCAGCTGACAGGGTCTCCCCTGCCACTTGACCCCCAGGCCCCCCCATGCCGGGGGTGCCGGGGAGCGCGTGTGCTGCGCGCTCTGCCCCGCACCGCGGGGCGCCGACACGGCCCGGCCGCGCTGCGCTGCGCTGCGCTCCTCGTGCGCGGATCCCTGCGCGGGGGCGGGCGGCGGGCGGAGCGTGGCGGCGGCGGCGCCGTTAAGGGCGGGCGGGCGGGCGGTGTCGGGTTCCTGCTCGGCGGCGGCGGCGGCACCAGCACCGGCACCGGCACCGGCACCGGCACCGACATGGCCCGGCGCTAGCGGCCGTCAGCGCGGCGCCGCCATGGGGCGGTACTCGGGCAAGACGTGCCGCCTCATCTTCATGCTCGTGCTCACCGTGGGCTTCTTCGTGGCCGAGCTGGTGTCGGGCTACCTGGGCAACTCCATCGCGCTCGTGTCCGACTCCTTCAACATGCTCTCGGACCTCATCTCGCTGTGCGTGGGGCTCTCCACGGGCCGCATCGCGCGGCGCAGCCGCCGCGGGCCGCGCGCCACCTACGGCTACAGCCGCGCCGAGGCGGTGGGCGCGCTCAGCAACGCCGTCTTCCTCACGGCGCTCTGCTTCACCATCTGCGTGGAGGCCGCGCTGCGCCTCGCGCGGCCCGAGCGCATCGACGACGCGCAGCTCGTGCTCATCGTGGGCGCGCTCGGCCTCGCCGTCAACGTCGTGGGGCTCCTCGTCTTCCAGGACTGGGCCGCCTGCTGCCGCTGCCGCCGCCGCCCGCCCCCCGACAGCGGCGCCGCCGCGGAGCCCCCCGATGCCGCCGCGGAGCCCCCCGATGCCGGCGCAGCAGGTGCCCTTCGGCTGCAGCCTCGCCCCGGCGCGGCCCGCGCTCCCCTGCCCTCCTCATCCTCCGCCCCCGGCCCGTTAGGAGCCCCCGGCCCCGCCGCTTCCCGGGGCTTCCCGGGGGGTGTTTGGGGGCTGCCTGGGAAGGCGTCAGAGGCGGTCGCGCTGTTGGCAGCGCCGCGTGATGTGGGTGTTTCTTCTTCTTGCTTCTTGCTCTTTCATATATGCTGGTTTTGAGAAGGCCGATGTTTTTTTCTGTTTGTAGAACTTATACACAACACAGCGTTTCTTCTTTGAATGCAGGTGATTCCCCAAACGACCAAAAGCAGCCTGAGGGGAGGTCTGAGAGGAAAACGGAGAAGAAGTCCGAAGCCTTGAACATCCGAGGTACGGTGATGCGCTCAAAAGCTAAAGCTCTGTTAACTCTGCACATCTCCTGTTTTCTCMTTCACGCTATTATTATTATTATTTTTTCCAAATGTCAGCAAATGTATAGGACATGTTCTATGTATTTGTAACATTTATGTTCTTAACATACAGGTTTTTGAGTAGCTATGTGGATATAAGCCCCAAAATAGGGTGATGCTGGTGTAAACCACGTGCTCATCTGGTTCTTTGTGTGTGCTTGTRCTTTGATTTTAATCCTTTCAAGAGCTGCAGGTGGAGCCTTTGGAAGGATGCAGAGCCTCTCACACTAGGTTGCAGTGGTTAATGGCTTTATAAGGAGATAAATATCTGTCTGTGAGATGTTTTTACTGAATGTCTCCTCCTTAGTGGGCAAACAGTCTTCAACTTAGGTGTGCATTTAGGCAGAAAACAGCATTTCTCTACATCCTGAGGTTAGGAAGGCTATTTTGGTTAACAGAAAGAAAAAAGTGCTGAGAACTGAACCCCAGCACAGAGCCTTTCCAGGGCCTTGAACTGTGAACCCTTTCCTGGGAGAGGCTGTTGCAGTCAGCCCTTTAGAGCAAGGACTTTGGCAGATCTTTGGCTAGATGCAAAGGGAAACTGAAGGGCTATTTTAGGAATAAACTAAACAAAAATCTCTGTGTATGTGTGTAAGCGTACATATTTACATACCTGTTCCAACATATAGGGCATCTTTGAGTATATTAATCAGTAACTTTGTTCTTCAGGGGAAGGACCATTAACAAGGTATAACAGAAACAGTAGTTTCAGGTTTCTTATGGACAAACATCTGCCTCTGAGAAGATGTGATGCTCCTCTGAAGTCGTGTACATGGCATCACATGAGTTCAGCTGAACAGTCCTGTTTAACAGCAGTTTTTAGTGTACTTGGATAATTTAATGTTTATATAAAGATTTTCAGTGTTGTACAGATATGTGTGTCAATGGAGAAGACAAYTGGCAAGTTGGACATGTTGCTACAACAAAATGACACTTGCCTGAATATCTAAAAATCCTAAAATCGGAGAGTTTTATGTCTGAGACTTTAGGCAACTGTATTGGACCAGGACAACAGTTGAGATGGAGAAGATAAAGGAAAACCCAAGCAACAAGTTTGCTTTGAAGAAAGGCTTCCTTGTAGGCTTCCTTGCCTACATGGTAGTGAAGGGATGTCTGAAGGATGAGGAGTTTTGATTCAGTTATTTTAAGGTACACTTAAAACTTCATAATCATCTTGTAAAAAAAAAAAAAAAAAAAAAAGTACATTATTGAATTAGTCTCTTCCTGGAAAATTAAGCTAGAAAAAGTGGACAGTGAAACTTTTCTCTGTCCCTCTTGTCAGGGTTAACATGCTGCAGCTCAGGTTACATATAAATAAAAAGCAACCTTGCTACTGTGTTGCAACAAGCCAAACTGCATGGAGTTTGCCAATCAGACAAACTACTCTTGACTCCAACAGACAGAGCTGGATTCGCTGAAAATTTGTATTTCCTTATCTTGCCTGAATGATCCCAGGGACTTGGGTTAACTATCGATTTCACTTTGCGCACAGAGGGTCAGTGTTGGGCACAAAGCTGGCACAGAGCTTGGCACTGGCGGGTCCTGCATCTTTGCTAGCCCAGAGGAAGGAACTGAACTGGGGCAAGGCCTTTGAAAATGCTCTCACAGACATGTTAAAGGGAAGTGGCCCCGTTTTGGTCTCTCCTGTACTCCAAATGAAAAGGAAAATGTTGGCAAAGGAGTTAACTTTATATATTTAGACTTTATATATTGAGCATGAGTTAAAGGGAAATTTGGGTATGAGTAGTAAAGGCTGACAAAACTGAAGTGTTTCCTAGTAATGACAGGAAGAGGAAAGACTATTCAAAGTAGTAAAAAGCAATGAAGGGACTCAATATTTTAACAGGTTAGCAAGAACTGTGCTTGGTCATCCTAGTTCAAAGTGGGACTGAAAATGGGTTATTGCCAAGACTCTCTCTTGTGTCTTTTTGTTACCTTGAATGCTGTCTGGAGGCCAGTGGCATCGGTTTTTGCCAAGTAGTCAAGCTTAATATAATAAATAAATAAAATCAAGAGTTTGGAGCATGAGTAATGATAAGACTGAGTGCTCCTTAGCYTACCCTAGGTAATTTTTCAGATATCAGCAAAGTCACAGAAGCTGAGTTGGAGGAATAACTATTACCTGTTTGGGAAGTGTGTGGCATGCTTAGCTTCAGGATAGGCCTGATAGATTTTAACTGTCATTTCCTAACTGCGAGTGCCATGTAAATGTGCCTGGATCTCTTGGCAGGCCTTAAGCGAGCACGTTCACACTGCCTTGGTGCTGCAGTGGGACCAGAGGTGCTTGCAAACACTGACTGTTTAATAACACATCCCACTGGTGCTACTGGTGCGCAGGGTCAGCATCTCCCTCTCTTCTGTGCTCTGAAAGCTGCTGTTGAAAACTTTGCTCATAGCTGGTACCTGAAGTACATTACTATGGCTTTTTCAAATCTGCTTTACTTTACATAAAACACTTTGTTACAAACCGGTTCCYGCTTTGTCTCCAAAAGGCTAATGTAAATCTCTATTGTGTCGTTTGTTTTCAGGTGTTCTTTTGCATGTTATGGGCGATGCACTTGGCTCTGTGGTTGTGGTGRTTGCAGCTACAATCTTTCACGTGCTTCCCCTGAGTGCGGATGCTCCCTGTAACTGGCAATGCTATATCGATCCAAGCCTGACCATYGTTATGGTGATCATCATTTTGTCTTCTGCATTCCCACTTATCAAAGAGACCTCGATCATTTTGCTACAGATGGTTCCCAAAGGTGTTAATATGCAGCTATTGAGTAAGTACAATTTATTCTTGGAATGCTATTAATTTAAGTGATATATTACAATGCATATGTTGTTTCTGGAAGAACATATTTGGATTATGTACTCATAGCAGATCTAAATTCTCAACTGTGAGAGAGAGTCACATGCCTGTGTCCTAGCAACATGACTCAAATCTCTCTGGATTAGTTAAAGCATGCATTTTGGGAATGTGGTACTCGAGCAATACACAAAAAGCACCAGATCTTGAACCGCTAATGCTTTGCGTGGGGTGCTTGTGAAAGAAGCAACATTGATTATAATATTTCCCAGCCCTGCAGTGCTTCCTTCTAAAGACTTCCAAAACACTTTAGAAATTTCAATTTAAGAGCAGTTGGTTTTGTAGCATGAACAATGCCAGGCTTTCTGGTATGGCTGAATAAGCCCGTGGCTAATTACAGGGCAACACCACCTATTTCTGGAAGCCTGTCAGCACTGAGCAGACCACAAGATGTAGGTGTCGCACAGGGAAATGGTCATCTCAAGACAAATGGATCTTCCAGACAATGTTGATGAGTTGCCACTAGGGACTTGGCAAGAGTGTGTTTAAAGTGTGGGAAAGATGTATAAAGCCCTGCTTGCCCAGCCTCTGGGAGCCTGAGCTGGTCAGCCGGGAGCAGAGAGGCWAACAAAGTGCTGCTCTTCAAGAGACACTGCTGCTTTCAGATAAGCTGCTTCATYGGGCTGGGACAGCTGCTCCCCAGGCCGCACACTGAGCCCTCTAATGTCTTTCCCTTGTGTTTTCTAGCTGACAGTCTAGCTCACGTACCAGGGGTTATCAGCCTGCACGAGGTGCACGTCTGGGAGCTGGCAGGTGGGAAGAACATYGCTACTCTACACGTCAAGTGCCAAACGCCTACTGATTACCAAGATGCTGCTTATAAAATCCGGAAGCTTTTCCATGAAGCGGGGATCCACTCGGTGACCATCCAGCCTGAGTACCTTGATCAGAAGAGCCCRTCGCTGCTCTGCAGCTCACCCTGCATCTCCAGGGAGTGCGACTCTCAGCTCTGCTGCAGTCAGCAGGAGGCTTCGCTGCCCAAAAGCAACGGCTGCGTGGAGAAAAGCGAGAGGGGCCTCCCTGCACTGCCAAAGGACAATGGTGCAAGTAAAAATGACATTGAGATCCCTATTGAGAGCCCTGTGTCAGAGGATAGCATTAATAATGTGAAGAATTGTACCATGTTTGATGACAAGTCACAGTCGAGCAGCACGCGATTTTAAGCAGCTCACTCTGTGCAACTTGTCCTCAAGAGCAAGAGTGCCCTGGCCACAGAGTGGGCTGTCCTGGGGTGTAGCCACAGTTGGGGTGGCAAAAAGAAATCTGGGCTTTAGCTGCAAACCAAAATACACTTAAAAAGCTTGCATCTGAAATAAGGATTAATAGTGTCCTGTAAAGTCTTGCATTCATCTAAGGTTTCTCTGATACAGCCTAACATAGATCCTTTATCAAACTACGTGTGCACTTCTGTTCTTAGGGGGAATCAGGTGTATTGCTGTCCACACTGACGTTTGCAGTTTATGGCCAGTGGCACTGCAAATTCAACTTGGCCTTTTCTGCTGAATGGGGCTGCTTCCTCAAAGCCTTGTAGTGAGTGAGTGCTGGGCTGAAGTACTGTATATTTATAAAGGACTTGTTGCTTTGTTCCTCCTTAAAGCCCATTTTGCATAGACAGGAGTTCATTTTTTAATAGGAACTCTTGTGCCTTTGTACTGTGAGTGTTTGAGTGAATCTGAAAGTGTATAATGGGGAGAGGAAGCACTTGGGAAAGTTTGACTTGCATTGTTTTCTTGATTGCTCTGTCTCTAAATACAGAAGTCAGAACTAGAGCCTTAGCTTAATCACGGAGAAGTGTGYTAAAGAATACACTTCCTACCATGACAGCTAAGGAATCCTTACTGGCTAATATTGTCTCTGCTGATTCAAGTAAATGAAAATGCAGACAGCCATCAACTTTTCTTGTTCACTGTTGTGATTATACAACTCTTTTTAATGACATCAGAAATTGTAATAACCAGAGACACTTAATTCATTGTCACATGGAATGATTGCAGTATCTGCAACACTGAGTATTGTCATTTTTCATGATGAATAAACAAGCTAATATATCTGTTAGGAATAGTCAGAATTCTGCAATTCCATTCTATAATTAAGACACAATATTGCATTAATTAAGAAAATCCCTTTTAAAATTGTCTGCTATGTTAACTGCTTAAAGGGAACTGTYTAAGGAGTTTTTTCTTGTTTTAGTCTAGATTCTCTTGTAGATTTGTTTTAAACATTCAAGCCTCCTTCTCCCTGCCAACGGGTATATTTTTAAGTGTATTTAGTGAAGCAGTTCCATTATCTTTTTGCTACTTGGACTTCTTGAAGACATGCTAGGGTGCTCTAAGGAAAACCRCGTGGCTTGCCCTTGTACCACCAAATCTTCACCATCTGCCTAGGTATATAGGACCCAGAAATTTTCAAATGCATTTTGGTATCAAAAACAGCCTTCCAGTTCTGCATAAAGCCTGGACAAGCTATTTATTTGTTTACAAGGACACCTTGATAAAATAGTGTTGTCTTTACCTCAATGGCACCTTAGCAAAAAGGCAAAGAGACTTCCTGCCTGGGCTGGGAAAATACCATGACTTTCTTGTAAGTCTAACTTGAAAGTAGCCAGCTCCTTATTAATAAGGATAATTATGTTAAGTCAATGAATATTAAAAGGTATGGCAGGATATTTTGTTGCTTGGTAAATGATATTTGTTGAAGGAATGATTGCAATCTAAATAGCACATTTCTAGATTTGTATTTACCCCTTTTGAGCAGAGTCTTGGGTAAATGAATGTATTTTTATTACCTTCCATGGTAGGTTTGTATTAAATATGTTAAACTATATGCCARTAGCACTAAAAGCTTGATCCTGCAGCCTCTTTGACCCTTTAGGCAGCAATAGAGGTGAAAGCAGCAGGATTTTGCTTCACAGCTGAACAAATAAATATAAATCAGGAAACACTGGAATCATTCTGCCATTTAAAAGTGTGTGAGGCATGAGGTAAGACAGCCTTTGCTTCAGTTCTCATTTTCTGTCTTTATTTTCAGCTATGATGATGTTTAAATGTAGAGGTTTAGATCTATGAAATATGTATTTATAGGCTTGTGTMCCTTTTTTTCTGTCCCTTGAGAACTGGAAGGGAAGATTGTCAAAGTAATAATGGGTGAACTTGCCTCAGCTCTCAGCCTTTAAAACAAGCACTCTTTTCATAACTGTGCATTTGTGTCTTAAATCAGGTTGCCTTTTCTGTATTAAGTTGTTGAAAAATTTAATGGCAGTATTGTTTCACTCTGGAATTAGGTGTTTAGTGTTGAGGTATTTGATAAAATGGACTGTCTTTTTCTTTATTCTTCTGAAATTTGTTAATATAGTGGTTATCTATTTCTTAAGTCTTTAAAAGCGTTGTAATTGGAATATACAATGAAGTAACATGTTTAAACTTTTTGCCTGTTTGGTTGAATGTACTGTAATTATGTACTGAATGTACCGTAGCCTGTGAATAAATAGGAAAATACCAGGGGCTATAGAAATCTTCAGATTTAGAAAACAAATATATTGAAACTTGGATTTACTCTATCAAATCTGTTCCAATTGCTTAAGCAAGCAAGCAAAACCAACAGAACAGAGTTACTGAACAGGTGAACCTTGCTTTTTCTGTGGTGGGACTTCTCAGGTATCCCACAAACGTCCCTGTGCCAGTGTCCTTGTTTTAATGTCAGTCCTACAACAAACATTTTTTTTCCTCTTGATTTGAATGTGTCAAAACTAGGCTATAGTGGATGGTCACGTGATGCTTTCGTAGAAGATATCATTCCAGCCACTATGTGCATTTTCTTGGCTTAAGATACTTGTTCTAGATTCAGTTTTCTAGCATACTACATTTTCCTAATTTTTTGCGGCTTTTTTCTTTCTGACTAATGTAAAATTTCTGATCAGGTGCCTGGTTATGCTGTCCTATTCTCCTCACCATTTCCTTTCCACMTGCCCAGGATGGCCTTGCTCCTCTTGCAGTATTCCCTTTTTATGGCCATCACTGTTGTCCATAGCAAGGGAGGTCTGCTTAAAACGCAGGTGACTTTTAACCCCTTGTTCCTTTGTGCAGCCCTCTGATCCATAACCAGGCACACACGTGACCAAGTCATACGAGCGTGACACAYGCGCTAGCCAAGGCAGATAGTGCTTGGACCAGGAGCAGGTAGCTGGAATCCATTAGCGTGACGTTGCAAAAGCAATTTCCTGGATTTCATCAGCTGTGGGCATTCTGGGTCAGCATTTCATATGCTATCCTTGGACCAAACACACAGATTTAACTTCTAATTTTTCATTCTTCTGTGTCTTTGCTAATGCAGATTTTGCCTTTGCCTTTCTTATGATATTTCTAGGTGTTTCCTATGTTTTACCAAGTGATCAGCAAACTTCCTTTTATCTCTTACTGATACTTCAATTTACTTTCTAGTGGAACCATTTTTCCTTTTAATATTTCTAATTATTCTTTCTCTTTTTGGTAAGACAGTAGGGTTTTGCGAGCCTCCTGGTACCTATATGTTTTATGTACCTATAATAGAGTTAACAAATACCTCTTTCTTTTTCTTTCTTTTTTTTTTTTTTGCACTGGTTTGAGTTTTGCACTCCATTTTATTCAAATCAGTCTGCTTTCTGATCTTGCTCAGTGATATGCTTCACTATTGCAAACTAATCTTTGCCCATGTTTACTTCTGTCTGCTCTCTGTTTTTTCTTGTTTCTTTGCTCCCTTACTGGGTTGTAATATTCACTGTCCTGAATGTTACCTTTTATCCTGAACTTTGAAGGTGACCTGCTGGCACCCATGTTTCCCACGAGGTGAAATCCACTCAAAGTGGGAAATAGCCTGGCTTGAGGTGAGCTACCCCCAGGTCTTAGGTGTTTAGGACTGCTGTAGTGGCCAGCCTGATACGTATCATTTTAACTCCTATGAGCATCTCAGCTGAGCCAGCTGTTAAAGGAAGTTGGTTGCTAAACTTGAGAAGGTTTAATGAAATCAGTAGAGTTTGTTTAGTTAAAACCTTTGGGAAAAACTGGTGAGCCACTTGGAACGTGGGTAAAAGGGACATTTCAGAAAAGATAATCAAAATGCTAGGAGGTTTTCTTCAGATTCTTCTACTTACTCTGCTCTTCAGTGGAAGCACTTTCAATGGTAAATACTTATTTGAACTGTGATACTTTGATATGAGGGTGTCACTGTATAAAGTTGTTACATTTATGGAGTTTTGTTGCTTAAGTTTCTTCCAAGTTTATCTGTTCATTGTGTGATTTTTAAGTAATGTGCCAAAATATAATTTCCGTGATTGCTGAATCAACAAATTGTAAATCTCATTGTGTTTTTATTAACTATGAGTGAGGAAAATTCCTTAAACTCTTATGTACAGTCATATTTTTTTCAAAATGAAGTTTGAATGTGTTGTAAATAAAGTGTATTTTTAAATAAGAACCGGCTGTACTGAGCTTGTAACTGCAGGGTGCTTGCTGTAACCTGATGTGGTGTTTGCAGACTGCAGATGTTGTGTCACTGCACAGCTCTGCGTGTTTGCCCCTGCCTGCTGCTTGCTTTCTGCTAAGCAGCTCTTCTGCTTTCCCTGTCAGGGTTTGCAGAGCAGGTCTGCATTGTGCAGGTGTTTGTGCATCTGTGAGGACGTCGCTGTGTCTGGAGAAAGATGCACTTGTGTGTATCAACGTTCACAGGAGAGCTCTGTGGTTCTTGGGTCTGGATTTCATGGCCTGAACRGGCATCCCAGAAGAGCCCTTCCTAGCAGGGAATGCAGTGGGATGAGGTCCCTGGCRGTGACTGCTGAAGCTCCCAGCTTCCCCCAGCTGGGCTGGGGCTCTAGGAGCTGCAGTCATGGAGGGGCCTTCACACCTTCCTCTCTCCCACCCTATCATGACTCATTCTCTACTTGTCCACACACTTGTCCATACTTGTCCAGCTCTTTTGTCTCCTTCAACTGCATTCTGCCATTAGGTAACAAGTGGACCTGTGGTAGTTCATAGGACAGAAATAACCTATAAACCAATTGCTACCAAAAAAAAAAAAAAAAAAGCCCCTTCTGTATGTCAGAGAAAAAAAAAAGAAGAATTAAGAAGAAACAAATTTTCAGAGTTTGACCTAACAATTATTAGTTGCACATGAAAGCTGTTGTAGCAGTACTGTCCTGATGTTTCTTTTCAAAGAAAAAGGTAATGCTTGGATTAACAAAGGCTGAAAAATAGTTTCCAGGACAAATGTACCAAAGAATCACAGAGTGACACAGAATGGTTAAGGTTGGAAGAGACCTCTAGAGATCATCTAGTTCAAACCCCCTGCTCCAGTAGGGACACCTACAGCATGTGGCACATGGTGGCATACAGGCAGGTTTTGAAGAGAAGGAAACTCCACAGCCTCTCTGGGCAGCATATTCCAGGGCTCTGTCACCCTCACGGGAAAGAAGACCTTCCTTATATGGAGATGGGGCTTCCTATGTTTCAACTTATACCCATTGCCGCTTGTCCTATGATGAGTCACCACTCCTCCCCTTCCTCCCTACATTCACCCTTCAGGTATTTATACATATTGATGAGAKCCCCTCTCAAGCTTCTCTTCTCTGGGTTAAACAGGCCCAGCTCACTTACTCTTTCCTCATACAAGAGATGCTCCACTCACTTGATCACCATTGTTGCTCTCCGCTGGACCCTCTCTAGAAGCTCCACGTCCCTCTTATRCTGGGGAGCCCAGAACTGCCCCCAGTACTCCAGGTGCAGCCTCACCAGAGCTGAGGAGAGGGGCGGGATCACCTCCCTTGACCTGCTGGCAACACTCTTCCTGATGCAGGCCAAGATCCCATTGGCCTTCTTGGCCATGAGTGCACACTGCTGACTCATGGTTAACTTAGTGTCAACCAGGACTCCCAGGTCCCTCTCTGTGGAGCTGCTCTCCAGCAGGTCGACCCTAAATCTGTCCTGGTGCCTGGGGTTATTCCTCTCCAAGTGCAGGACCCTGCACTTGTCCTTATTGAACCTCATGAGGTTCCTCTCTGCCCAACTCTCCAGTCTGTCCAGGTCCCTCTGAATGGCAGCAGAGCCCTTTGGAGAGTCGGCCACTCATCCA